GCAAGTTTCTTCTTCTGCTCCTGTGAGGCACAACCAAGATGAGATGGCCATTTGTTTAAAGCCAGGTCCATCCCAATCACCGAACAAGGAGAATAAAGGTAGATGGGTATTGATATACTTACTTGGATAAACCAGACTTTCCCCACCTGGTGCCCCCCCAAAGTTATAGTTCCTAGCAGTCCAGACCATAGCCATGCTGGCTGGAGTTAATGGGGGCTGAAGTCCAAAATAGCTGGATGGTACCAGGAAGGGCATAATCATCTGAAATCTTCGCCTTCCCCTACATATTCCTGCAGTTTCCTGCCTGGTGCCATTGCACTAACTCCTAGCAGAACAGTTGGTGGAGAAGTGGCTATTGAGGTGGTAGGGGAAAGTGCTAAGTGCCAGAAGAATTCCATTCCTTAAAACAGAACCCAATTCCTACTCTATAGGAGGGTGAGGTAGATTTGAGTTTAAAGGAATTGTCACTTCAGACTCAGGCAGGGCTGTTTTGTTTTTGGAGACAAAACAATCTAATGCCCTTGATTGGCCTTTTCCTCCCATTTTCACAGCCTTAAAGTCTTAGTTTCCAGCAGAAAGTATGGATCAGATGATAACAGCTGCCCACTAGAATCTAATTTTAAATTTACAATCTGTTGTCTTGCAAGGTACTTAATACTTGATGAAGTTAAAAAATCATGAAGTCTAAAACTTCAGTGATTTAAATTAATTTTTATCCTTCTTGAAATTTAGTCTGGAATAGATTGGGAAAGGGGGAAAAAAGCATTCCAAACAAAACGAAATGCAAAACAAAAGAATATTCTTAGTTGATGGAGTTCCCTGTCTGAAGGAAAGGACTGAAACAAGCAGTATCTGTGGAATCTTTTATTTATACTTATTTGCATGGAAAGATTGATAATATAAATAGCTGCTTTGACACTGCAAGTCGATGGATACATTCACACAAAACACTCAGCCATGCAGGAACTGTACAGCAGGTTCAGACAGGCACATGTATTCCAGGCACGCACGGTTTTCATGTGCCTCCGTCTTTCCTTCTAATGGCGACTGGTATCCCATCAGCCTCTGTGGCTGAACATCAATCTCCGGGTGCACTGCTCCTGCCAGCATTTCCTCCCTCTCCCTCATTGGCCCACACGCTCCCCTGGGCATGGCCAGAGCCAGCTGCCTTCCTTTGGCTTTGCTTTTTTTGCTAGCTGCTCCGTGAAGCTACTGCCTCTTCACCAGAGTTGTTGCCCTGTTGCTTTAGAGGAGCACTATAGGAGTACTCCCTGCTGCTGCCCTGCTCCATGCCACTCTGCGTGCGTGCGCACACACACACATCTATCTCTCCTTCCCCCCCTTTGGCATTTGACATCAATGGGATTAAGCACACTGTACTGGCGTCTGTCCCTTTATAGCAGATTGTTAGTACTGTAAGTCTTCAAATATTTGTGAGAATAATAAGCAAGATAACCCTTTCTTTTCAAATGTCCTTGTTGAATTTAATCATTCTGAGCATGAAGTGTATGACCATAAGAAAGCACCAGCAGTTCTTGGGAGGACATGACAGGCATCTTTTGTACATGTGAACATATGCAGTGGGAGTTCGTTAATATTCTCACTTTAATTTATTGGATGATTTATCTAGTGAAGCTTTTCAAGCCCTTCACATAGATTGTAACCTTTAGAACAAGGGTTGGTTAAATTGTGATCCTTCAGCAAATGTTGTGACTTGCAGCTCCCATCATTCTTAGCCAGCACAGCCAGTGCTGCAAGATCATGGGAGCTGCAGGCCAAAACATTTGGCAGGCCACAACCCCTACTTTCAAATAACTGTTTAAGATCAGCTAGTATTGTTACCCTTTATTACAGAAGCAGAGGCTGAGAGTGAAAGGCTTGTCATAGTCTGCTTGTAAATTCACAGCAAAGTTGAGATTCAAACCATGAATGCTTAATATTTGTATCTTGCCTTTTCAACTGAAAAATTCAAGCAGCTAAGAAAAAGAAATATAAAAGACAAATAGGTCTAAACAGGCTAAAGAAGAGGGCCTCCCTCCTCTCCATTTATTCATGCACTGGATTCACATGAGAAGGGAAAATAAGGCAAGGAGCATTATTTCCCTTCCCATCTGTGCTGGTCATGAGCCACCTAATTAACATAATTGCCCTTGGCTGGGCACGGGTTGTCCTGGTGCCCAAACCCAGTGAAGGTGGGTGGCTCGGGTGGTTTGCAGACCACCCTGAAACACCACGACAAGATACGTTTTTCAGAGTGGTTTGTAAATCACCCGGCTATCCACCCTCACTGGGTCTGGACATCATAACCCCCTGCTTTTGGTAAGGGTAATTATGTTAATTAGGCAGCTTGTGAATGGCAAGCAGTGAGGGAAAATATGCCATAATTAGGAAACTCTTCAAAAACCGCTGCAGGGGGTCCAGAAGAATCGGGCCAAGTGGCACTTGAGCCAGGGAGGGCATATGAGGAATAAAGCTTTGGCTTTCTTATGCTATTAAGCTTTGGGGTGGCTGGTGTTTGACAGAGCTCCAGGAGCAAGGAGGACAGATCACTTTTGGATCAGGAAGACTGACAGAAAGGGGCATTATTATGATAATCTCTCAAGCTGCAATGCTGGGTTTAGGGTTTCCGCTTTGTATTGCATTGTAGTCCAGCCTGTCTTTCAGAACTTTTATAAAATTCTGTTGAACATTTATTGGAGTGATTGGTATTTTATTGAAAGCCTAGAAAATTGCACTGACCCTTTCCATATTTGAACAGTGCCCACGGCAAATTTCAAGAACGCTCCAGTGTTTTAAGGGTGACCTGCTTCCATCAGAGACCTATCCAACACTTGCCATTTATCATGTCACGCTGGCTGGTAAAACTTTCCCCATAATGTCTCTATTTGTATTTTCAAAGATGGTGATACTAAAAGTACCACATTCATAGCTGCTTGAATGTTATGGCTGCAAATGCATTGCTCCTTGCCAAAGCAACACGTGCCTTTTTTATTTATTTTTGCTAAATATAGATTAGTGTTATGTTACTTTTGAGATGGTGGTTGGAAAAGCTTTTACAATGCTGCATGATTGTGTCCATTATTTATGTTTTCTGTAGGGTTCATTGCATGTGCTGATCTGGCAAATTGTATCCAGTTGCTGCACTCATCCAGCAAGTTGCTGCATGTCTAGGGACTCCGTATATAGAAACTAAGTTGGTCTAAAATTAGCAGCTTTTCAGAAGTTAAGAGTCATGTGCTCATTCTTCTCCACCCGGTACAACACAGTGAATTCATATTCTTGAGGATGATCCTTTGGAACATAAATCTCCCCAGCTTTAAACAACTGCAGGTGAATTTGGCTGCTTTGGTTGAAAATCTTTAAGTCAGCAGTTCTTAGACTATATGATTGTAAAACCATTCTGCAACCTCCCTAATGCAGGGCAGAAAATGACAAAAGGTTGTAGTCCTAAGCATACTTACCTTAGAGTAAATTCAGTGGAACATGACTTACTTCTAAATAAATATGTATATGCACTGGCCCTTGGGGGGAAAAAACTAACCTGTTATGCCTGCCCTTATGATGATTGAAAAATGGCTGGATTTCATCTTTTTTTTTTTGAGGGGGGTCAGTTTTAAGGAAAGGTCTAGAGTGTGTGGGACTGCTCTGAATCCTGATTCATAATCCCTTGTCTGCAAGAATAGTCCAGAACTTGGAGGTTTGGGTAAGAACCCCACAGTGGTCCCCCTCCTTCAGTGAGCCTGTTGCCAGCTGCTGCTGCTGTCGCTGTTTCTTCTCTTTCTCATTACCAGCACTTGCCAGCTTGACAGGCGGGACAGCCAATGAGTTGTGGCGATGTCTGCTGCCTGGACACCAACACTGTGGTCTAAGTCACATTCTGACTCAGAAGTGACTCCAGGGGGTCTCTGCTGTAGTGTGGATCCTCACTAGGCGCCTGGGCATGCCTGCCATAGATGTTGACCTGGCACTTGGGCCATTTCAAGGGTTTTTGCTGCCTCTGGTGAAGGACAAACACAAGCACAATCAACAGTTGGATTTCAAGCCAAATGGAGAACTATGAGAGTTCATTTTCTCCATCCACCCCTTCCCCACACACACACACACACACACACACACACACACACACACACACACTTAACTCAAGCCACACAGCAAAATGGGATATACATGATTGCTGCATAGAGGTATAAGTAAGGCCAAGTGATTGTAGTTTGCCAGGAAGGAGAGGGGAACAAACCTTGACTCAGACAGATGATGCTCAGGATCCTCTCATTGTATTCATAATATAAATATTTCACCAGGATTCTCCTGGTATTCAAGAAACAGCTGGTCATCATAAAAGGAGCTTGGAGTGACTTCATGTTCCATCTGCCGTATGAGACCTGCTGGTCAGACCGTGCTGCCAAGCACAGGTTGCAGAAAGACAGGCATACTTCACATCTGCTGCTTGCGGCAACCGCTTCACCTTGCCTCCTTATTTGGCTAGCCTAAGCTTTGTAGGAAGGCTATGTAATATTTGTGGGCCTTTGGATAAAAATGTTGACTTCTGCCGATTTTTCCCTGGGCTGTGTGTATTCCATGCTTTGTCTTCCTCAAAGTAAAGCACATTCTGGGAGAGAAAGCTTAAATTCTGCACCTTGTACAAACCATTCAAAGTGAACTAATTTTGAAAGGCTTCTCGTAATTGCAGAGATGATTCTACGTTTGCTGGTTATTTTGCATAATTTAGGCTATAGGCAGAGAGGATAAAGAAAGAAGTCCTGCAAGGCTGTTGAATGTGTTGTTGATGCTTTTAAAAATATCAGCATCTTTCTTAATAACCAGCAAACTGTACACTGATACGTTGTTCTTACCTTTCTCACCTGTATGGTTGTTGCTGCTGCCTATTCCTCCTCCTCTTCCAGCTGGGAAAGAAAAGTCCCTTGCAGTCATGTACCTGAGATGAAAGCTGTGCAATTCCCTCTCATTCCTGGTACTTAACAAGAACCATTCTTTTCCCAGCTGTAGGAAGTGGCAGTAGTTCTGGCAGCAGTACAGCAAGAGGGAAGAATGACACATCAGGACTGGATATGCTGGTATGTCAGGGATAGATTTTAATATAAAAAGCAAGGCGACTGCAGTCGTGTGATCTTACTTTTTAAGATTTCCCATGTCTTTAATGTAATGGTTTTGCACCATTCAGGGGCAAGCAATCCTTTTTCATGCCAACACAAATGTATATTATCTTGATACTTTTTTGAAAAACTCCAGTTCATGTTTCATGGGTCAATTTATGAGTCTTAAGGTAACAACAATATGATATTGTGAAGACAAGTTGCCTTGCAAATATTGGTATATTGAACCATGGTTTTGTCAGGAACACTGACAGAGTATTCTACCTTTTTGTAAAATATTGAATTTGTAATGCTGTCATTTTTTGTCCTGCAGGCATTAAAACCATGGGAAATGCAGAGAGCCAAAATGTAGAACATCAGTTTTATGGAGAAAAACATGCCAGCTTGAGTCGAAAACATACATCACGCTCTCTTCGCCTTTCAAACAAAGCAGTTCGCCGAACCAGACATGCTTCCTCAGGAAAAATTATCCACAGGAACTCAGAAGTAAGCACACGATCTAGCAGCACTCCCAGCATTCCTCAGTCATTGGCAGAGAATGGTCTGGAGCCTTTTACCCAAGAAGCCAATTTGGAGGATTTTGGAAGTCCAATCTGGGTTGACAGGATGGATGTGGGCTTAAGGCCAGTTTCCTACCACACCGATTCTTCTGTCACTCCCAGTGTGGATAGCAGCACAGTCCTCATGGCAGCCTCTGTACAGAGTATGCCAAATTCAGAAGGCGGCAGACTTTATGAAGATGAGTCAACTTACCTGGCTGAAGGGGGTGGTAGGCAACATTCATACTCAACGAATGGGACCACTTTCTTGGAGCCTATGAGTTTCAAGAAAAAACGTTCAAAATCTGCAGATATTTGGCGGGAGGATAGCTTGGAATTTTCACTCTCTGATCTCAGTCAAGAGCATTTGACAAGCAATGAAGAGATCCTAGGCTCGGCTGAGGAAAAGGATGGTGAGGAGACTCGAGGAAGAGAGGCGAGCAACAGCCGCCAGCCATTGGTCACCTGCCAGCGTGCCAATTCCATGAGTGACTTGTATTCTCCCCAGATATCAAGCACTTCAATCAATGGTGGCCCACGCATCACCTCAGGGTACTGTCGAATTTTAGTGTCTCGGATCCCAGATATTGAAGACCACAAAATGTCATCAACCGCAATGGAGAACGTTCCTTCTTATAGTAATTACAACACACTCCCCTGCCGAAAATCTCACTGCCTCTCTGAAGGAATCACACATCCCAAAATGAGCCATAGCAACAGTATGCATGGCAGACGAGCAAAAACGACTCAGGTAAAGACCTATTTCTTATTTCAAACACTAAAGTTCACCAGTAAGCTACACATTTGCTATTCCTTATTGAGGTAAGACTCTGGTAAATCTAGGCTCTTGATTTATACGAAAAGAGCAGTGCTGTCTCAGTAGAGCCAAAGTATTTCTGGAAGCAAACATTTCTAGATCTTCATTTCCACATTATTTGTTGTTACATGCAACCTTTTCTGAAAATAAAAATGAGAGCGTGGATTGGTAGGTGAACCTGCCTGAAAAGCTCAAGGTCACAATATATAGACATAACCAGTGCTTTTTTTTGTTAAAAAAAAAAGGTGCCAGAACTCCCAAGCCAGCAGGGAGCAGTGTAGCAGTAGTGGCGTCCCAAGCAGCTATCTCTCACTATCAGATAGCAGACACAAAAGCAGCCTGCAGGCACTGTGTTAATGATGTTTGCTGCTGATCTGCTATGATTCAAAATCACTTCGTAAAATCCATTGGAAAAATGGTGCCGGATCGCTGTTCCAGTGCGTTCTATGACAAAAGAAGCCCTGGATATAACTAATGTGCTATATAAGAGTTCTGAGTGGTGCTATATTTTGCTTTGTTCAAAAGAAAGGAAAATTATGCAGTTTCTTATCCCCACTTACTTTCACCATTAGGATTGTATGGGGTTTTTTTTTTGAAAACTATAATTGAAAATGTGTGTTTTAATAATAGTATTGCACTTAACTTGCTCCCCAAAGGAAATTGTTTGACCTCATCTGATTAATTTGAAATGCCATAAATTCCATCTTATTTCACTTAGTCACTGTGATTTTTGGAGGTGAATTGCATACGTTTACCTGATTCAGTTGCTCTCTGTGTTGTGTTGTTCTGTGCTGTCCTGTTCTCTGCTATAGTCAGATGTAATTATAAAGGTGGCATGAACCAGAGCAAAAATGCAACTAATTCTACATGCATTTCATGCATAATTTCATCCTGCTGTTTTCTCTTGAAGTATATTTTCAGTTTCAGAATTCATCTTTTAAAAATAATTGCTAGAATAATGTTAGGCATAGCATTCCTCAGTTGTCTGTGTTTGCCCTCTGTGCACAACTGATGTGAAATGTAGCCAGCAAAACAAAACTGAACAGTCCAAGAAAGAGCCCGAACAAATAGGTCAAGGCTAGCGCCAGACGGCATGCTTCAGTGACTACTCTGATTTTATTATATTGTCCATGTCTGTACATATGTAGCAGACAATACAGACTATATTTTGTGACCCAGAAAAGGAGAAGATTGGATAGGCTAGGGTAGAGGGGCAATAAACCAGTGGCCTTGTGCCTTGATGCTGAGAAGCTTTTGGCAGTATACCATTCTTAAGTGCTATTAGATCTGACAGTGTGAGCCGGTCAGCTTTCAACGTTCCGCAAGTGTAGGTATTGACATCTATGAACATAATGCATCAGGAGGAGATGTTCCCTGGATGATGAGGAGAAACCTAAATACATAGGGAGAGGACTCACACAGAAAGAATGAATATGTGCATGCACATCAGTTGACACTATCTTACAGAAGACAACTGGAGGCAGGTTTCTGGTTTAGGTGCCTTTGCTCAGTCCATGAAGATGCTCTGCTTCTATATATAAAGTTACATTTTGAAACAGATGTTGCTGTTTTCCCAGAGAAGAAACTTTATTTAAATACACACCCACACATGCACATACAGCCGAAATTTATTTTGGGGGGCTCTTATATGGCATCCACATATTCTCTGTTTACTGTTCTGACAAGGTTGGTAAACATGGAATTTAAAGTTAGATACATAGCATCTTAGTTTGTCTTGAGCTACACTTAATACAATGTTTCCCCCACTGATATACTAAAATCTGAACTCAAGTCTGTACTTTCTTCATGTGTTCTCCATGAGGAAAATACATTTGGTAAACTTCCAGCCAATTTGACTACCTGATGTTCATTGTTAAGATGTCATCTATGGGAAATGACTCTCATTTCAATAGACATCAGACTTGTTCCATGCCACTTCTGAGGACAACTCCCCCGCCCCCCTTCGTTGTCTGACTGTGTGAGATGGGCAAAACCAGCCAGTCATTTTATATAAAAAGATTATTTATTTTTAGGTGTGCACTAGCCATATAGAGTGAGCCCATCTCCAGCCGGGACCAGTTGCCTCAATCATCATGTACAGCAAAGATATATAGTTAGCTTTTTGTAATGATTAGGGATAGAAAACGTCATAGCAGGAGACATTGCTCAATAAAAGTGGGACACATCCATCAGTGAAAGGAAAACACAGTCAATAGGAAACATTCAGTTACTTTTTGTTATCTTGGTTAACAATGGTCATCTTGACCCACATCACCCCTTAGGACATCTGGTGTTAAAAAATCTGCTTCCAGGCTTATCTTTATGAATTCTGATCTCTTGACAGAGGTTTATTTTAAATGTTTGACTCTTCCCAATAGAACACTAAGTAACTGACCTTTGTTGCTTGGTCACCAGAAAAAAGGTATATTCCTCGCCATAGTTTCAGGATGCCTTTATTGTTAGGCTTGTCTCAATTTTGGAATTTGGTTCTGAGGGTTGTATGCAGAACTTGCGATACTTGCACTCCAACACATTTGGAGGGCGCCAGTTTGGGGACGGGTTATGGCTAGGACTGGACTCACAGTAGCCAGAAGTTCCAAACCAAGTGGTAGATCTCTGCAGGGAAGTGCATGGAAGTTGGGGTCCTTTTCTAGAAATCTTTTCTTTGTCTCAAGAACAGCAGAGTTCAGGTCATTCCTCTGTCTGAGGTGTTAAAAGCTGCTCACGTCCCAAGGCCAGTACTCACAGCACTAGGAGGTTCCAACTCATTGGCAGAGTTGACCCAAAACTCAAGAGGTGCATAGGAGTGTCAGGACTGTATCTGGAGTTCTGTACCTTCCCTCATAACAGAAACAGCTGGAATGGCTCTGATCCTTTTCTTGTCATAGGAGGAGCTGGAATTTTTTCAGGTTCCTGACCCCGATGTAGAACTTGGAGGAATATGGTTCCTAAGAGATTTTCCAATTTTCTATCTTGCTCTGGAACTATTTAGAAAAGCTACAGCATAATGCCATCAGCTGAACAGTCTGGAGAGAGTGACTGTTCAGCTTATGCAGTGGGATTTGCTGTAATAAAAGGATCTCAGCACTTTTGGGTCTCTGTGTCACTTCTGAAATATGTGATTGTTGGACTAGGCACCATCACTGTTCTAGTTATCAGCATGCTCACTTCAAGTGTAGAGAAAAAATGTCTCATCTAGTATTGTTGGAAATTGAAGATCCACTTTCCACAGCCCAAAAGTGGATTCTTTTGGATCCACTTCTAAAGTGGATTCTGGAGTTCTTCACTTTACAAACATCTGTTGAAATAAAGCAAAGGAACTAGTCTACCATTATTTTAGCTGAGTTGATGACCTTGGTATATGAACCTGGCCAAAAGAAATGTTCCTAATTTTCCTTGAGAATATGTCAGAGCAAATAGAACTTTAGTTTTCCTTGCTTACAGGTCTTAGAACCCATTATCTAAATTAGAGCTTAAGTGTGGGAGTTGCTTTTCTTTAATTGTGAGTGCTTTTAAGGGCTTTGGAGATCATTAGTGCTAAGCAATTAATATTTAGAAGTTTTCTTGGGGGGCACCCACACAGCAGTTTCATTTTCATGCCAAGTGTTCGATATAGCTGAGCAAGACTGGAGAAAGGTGTATGTGGAGGAGAAGTGTTGTTTATCTTTTCTAGCTGAAAAAATAAAGCACTAAAGAAGATCAGCTGTTGCATCTAAATTGGTGCTGTCAGTTTCTTGAATTTTATCTGTTCACCAGTCCATGAATACCCTGTTGAGCAGTCAGCTGGGGCTTCTCCAGATCCATCCTCTCTGAAGCAAAACTCTAGCCAGTTTTACAAGTCACAGAATAGGAGGGCATGCTGTGAATGGCGATAATGGGATATAAAGATTAGCTGCATGATTTTTTGTCATGGGGAGGTCTTCTTTCTTTCTGTTCTCCTATTAGCTGTCTCTGAATGGGGGTGCAATCCCTCAAGGAGAGAGGAATATAAAGGTGCTTCATCCATAACACCTAACCTATGGTTAATCTATGGTTCATTGTCCTACCCAGGGTTTGCCTGACAGATTTCAAACAAATGATGGGTTGTTTCTTATTTCTTGGCTTGTTTGTTTTCCTGCTTTTCTCCCTGTATTCCAAATGCAGTAATGGCACTATAGTACTGGCATATAGAAAGCCTGGGTTAATTTTACCAATCTTGTCCCTCACTGTTTGTAGCCTGGCAAAATAACCCATCCATAGTTCCAAATTCACACACATTAACAACCCATCACTTAAACAACTTGGAGTTCACAAGCCAACAAGTTGGCAGTTCACTTTCTAGGTTCTTACTAACAAACCTTGGTTTCTTAGCACCACTGGGTTTGCATATCACAGAAGCAGAGAATGCAGTAACCTATGGATCAAATAAATGATGGGTTAATGTTATGTATGAACCAAGTTAATGCTTGCTTCACAAAATTGGTTTTATAGTCATGCCTGTCATGAAGTGCAGCTCTCCTCCAAGTAAGCAGGTTTCTTTTCACAAGGCTGTATTGTTACATATCTCAGAGTTCACCCAGAGTAAAGCGTTGAGCCCTCTCTAGTACCCCTCAATCCACATGTCTTTATATCCCTTCCACCTGTGCATCCCAGCAGGTGGGGCACTGTGAAACCTACCCCTCCTGCATGCCTCCCGTTTCTCAGTTAACTGAATTTCCCGCCTATGCTGACTTCTAGTAAGTGTCACCTCCTCAAGGAGGGACTTGTGTCAGACAGATATCTCCTCTATGTCAGACAGACTGCTCAGTCCCTGCAGTGAGACCTGCCCAGTCCCTGACTCCTCCTCTGGGGCTTTTGACAGCTGTCCATTTTACCTCCTGTTGTGCTGTCTCCATTCCCACAGACCAGTTGGCCATCACCCCCCTCCCCCACCCCCAGCCCAGACTAATATCTCT